GGGAGAGCCCTGAGATCCCTCACTCTCCCAACAGCCAGGTGCTGCGACGGGCACAGCCGCGCCAGCAGCGAGCGCCGCTTGCAGAGCACCCCCTGCCCCCCTCCCTCTCCCCGGAGCGGTGATGGGTCTGTCCCTGGAGCATGTCCATCGGGCCAGCTAGCTCTCCGTGCAGCAGTTCCCTGGAAGGGAGAAGGATGGAGGACCATCACACGGGGAGCCTGGGGGGCATCGATTCCTCCCCAGCCCTCGCCCCGGCACACACAGGCTCCCTGGTCACCGCGGGGGGCACGGCGGGGCTCCGGTGCGGCTCTCACCCAGGATGTTGCGCTTGCAGAGAGGACAGGTCTGCTGCAGGAGGAGCCAGGGGTCCACGCAGTCCCGGTGAAACTCGTGGGAGCAGGGCAGCACCCGCAGCCACTGCGGGGAGGGAAGCAGACAGCAGACATGAGCGGAACCGGGCGGGGGTACCGTGACCCCACGGTGGTGGCTGGGCCGCAGCCCTGCCTCCCTCACGCTGCCCGAAGGAGGGGGACAACCCTCCGCCACGCAGCTCCCTGGCAGGGACACCCCGGCCCTGGCAAGCGAGGGGAGGCTCAGCCCCGGGCAGCAAGGGGATGGCACGAGCACGGGTGGTCCCGAGCGGTGAGCAGGATGGGCTCCAGGCCTCCCAGTGCAGCACCGGTCCCCCCAGTCCCTACCTGGCTCCTGTGGAACTGGTCCAAGCAGACGGCGCAGCTATCGATCTCGCAGGCCCGGCTATGGAGTGGTTTGCCGGGATGGTACCGCCGGGTTTTCAGTGCCGACAGCCGCCGCCGAATGTGCTGCTTCAGGTCCAGCTGCTAAGGCAGAGCAGAGGGTCAGACCCCGGCCGCCGGTCTCCCTGGCGAGGAGCAGAGTGGAGATGTTCCCACCTCGGCATCCTGCTCCGACGGGTCTTGCCGCGACTGCCGCTGGGCCTGCACGATCACCCCGGTGCAGAGGAGCAGGGCGATCAGCAGGATGGTGTTCCACAGCTGCTGGAGATACTTCTGCAGGAACAGCGTGGGCTGGGCAGTCAGGGACATGGGCAGGGGGCGAACCGGAGATCCCCACTCTGCTCCCAGCCCCGCCATCGCCGCTGCCCCCGCGCCAGGAACCCCGGCTACGTGAGGAGCCCTCGCCAGCGCCGGCGCACGTACCTGGACCTGCGAGCTGTTCTCCCCCGTGCAGATGACCCCCTGCCACTCCCCGTAGAGGCCCCCTCGGGAGAGGCCGCAGGTCGACCACAGGGTGAGGGTCACTCCCTGCAAGGCAGGAGACGGCATTGCCGATGGCCGCCGCGACGGCTCGCGGGGGCGCCCAAGGGCGG